CTGCTCTGCTAGCTTTATTGCATCTTCTTTCAAATGAGGTCCGACATGCCGTGAGACCCTCATTAGCTCCTCCAATAGGGCAATGTTACTAAACATGAAAGTTTCATCGAAACCAACATCTCCTTTTCTCCAGTATTGAGCAAAAGATGTTTGAATCTCATCCAACACAAGTTTTGCTGGGTCCGATGACGTTTGAAGGGCAGCCGACATTTCTTTTTGTATCGAATGATTTCCATTTAAATGATCATTTAAAAACCCCTGCAAGTTCCTTGCATCTGTGGCGGCACCTGGTTGAAGATTCAGAGAAGAACAAGTTGCTCCATTTTTGGCCAGTGAAGATATGGGTTCGCCAATTTTGACTGGGGAACTAATTATGCTGCTCTCTATGCAATTACAATAAGGAACATAAAAAAACGTAATAGACTGTTACTGAGTGTAATTCTGAATTTAAGATAGTAAGGAAAGATATTTATAGCATTACGTGCCACGTAAGCTTTGAGCGAAAGTGGTGGTCGGCATTGCAATTAGGTTGAAATATCACCTAGCGAAACTAAAAATAAATAAGAAAACACTTATTTTGCTATATGCCAAAACATCAGAAGGTATTATGCTCAGATTGGGGATAGATACTGCCTAAAAGAACAAGTCAGAAGTATATGCACAATATGGAAGAACAAGATTTAGGATGAAATGACAACAAATGAAGAGCATGAGTGCCTGGCCCCAGCACTGAAATTCTTATGAGATAAATCAGAAAGAAACATGGAACAAGATATGCTATTAGCCTAAAACAAAATAATTATAAAATGGGGGCAATGAAACTACTTTGATTTTCAGACCAGGACAAGAGAGTATTTATTGATTAAAAAATAAAATGAAAACACTTCTTTCCAGAATATAACAAGGCCTAAAAGGACAACTATTTTGAAATATGCTTAAATATCATTGCTTGCAACAGCTTCTTAGAGAAAATTACCACTCTACAGTGGTGCTTCAAAATGCAAAATTCTGAGGCATGTGCAATAGGGAATGTAACCAATCTACAATGCAAAAACTTTAAGCATTCAATTTCCATTTTTTTTCCTTTATTTTTTTTCCTCTAAAAGAAGCTCCCATAAGGCACAATATCTACATTTCAGAACTTTTCCATGTACATGCATGGGCCATCAGAGCTATAAAATGAGAAAGATTTACAAGCATATCCCATCGCATCACATGTGAAGGGTATCATTGTATAGATTTTTATTTGTTGACCTAACAAATTATCCAATATGGCTCCTGAACGCAGAGTATTTAATCAGAAACAATTTATTACATACTCCAAATACTATAGGGAAAGAGTATCATAGAAATTAGAAACTGAGATATAAACATCAACAAATATAAAAAGAGAAAGAAACAAAAAAAGAAAATCTTACCATTTGCCTTATCTGATACACCAAAGGCCTGGATAAATTCAGTAGCCAGTGAATGCTGAGAAACTACAACAAGAAGACTTTGAAGCTCATTCTCATCATAAGTAGAGGTCAAGTCATATGTAGTAAGAAGCAATAAAAATCCCAAAACCTCTAACCAATTTTCTACCACCACGATCATCTTATCCTTCCAATCGCCTGCCAACTTCTTTGCTTCTCCTCTCACCTGAGGATTAATTTGTGGTGAGACTCTCTTTAACTCTTGTAACAGAAGAATACAACTCCTTCTAATAACGCTCAAATCAAAGTCACACTCCCAGTTTTCCACAACCGAATTTGAAGGGTAAAACCCTTGCATTGCATCCAAAACTAATTTGGCCGGGTCTGATGATGCTTGAAGAATCGCTGAGATTTCAGTACCCAATAAATCATGTCTCTTCAAATGCTCATTCAGGAACAACTGCAAGTCTCTACCATTCCTGTAGATGCGGGACTGGATACTTTTGGACAAAGGAACAGTGGCATTGTTAGCAGGAGTATGTTCCAATTGCTCAATCTTCGCTTGAGAATCAAGGATATTAGTCTTCTTCTTCAATCTCTCTTTTTTGGTATTAGTTTCAGTGGATTTTCGAATTGAATCAACTTCTTTCTGCTTCAATTCAAGCTCTTTGGCCTGTTGTTCAAGTTGCCTCTCTTTCAATTTAAGTCCATAGGAGAGTGAATCCAAATTCTTTTCACGTTCCTGTATTGATTTTTGGAGTGAATCTAAATGTTTCGCTTGCAACTGAACCTCAGTGAGGCATTCATTGACCCTCTTATCCATCAAATGAAGTTCCTCGAGTTTTGGCTCAAATTGTTTCTCTTTCAGTTCAAGCTTCTCAAACCATCCTTCAAGTTCCCTCTCTTTAACTTCAAGTTCACTGGGCCACTCCTCCATTGATTTCTTAAGCAAATAAAAATCTCTCATTTTCAACTCCATTTCCCTAATTATATTCTGTTTGGATTCCAGAGTATTAGAGCATTCCTCCAATGATCTCTGAACCAAACCAAGTTCCTCCTTTTTCAATTTCATCTTATCGTCACATTCTTCAATAGATATTTGAGCTGCGTTAATTTGCTCTTCTCTCAAATTATATACTTTCTTGCGCTCCTCAATCATTCCCATCATCCAATTTAATTGCCTCTCTTGCGACTCAATATCCTCTCTGTACTTGTTTAATACCCCCTGAACCACTTCCACTTCCTCCTTCTTAGATTCAACCTCTTTGGACCTCTCTTCTACACATTTCATTACCCAATTCAATTTCTTTGCGCGCTCTTTAACACGTTTATCAATTAAATCACACTCCCTCTCTTTCTCTCCAACCAATCTCTGAAGTTCTGAGAATCGCTTCTCTTTAACATCAAGCTCTTCATTATGCTCTTCAATCAGTAACTTAAGCGATTGCAAGTTGAAGTGGTGTTTACCTGATTCAACCTCTTCGATCGATTTCTCAACTCCACGCAATTTCTCGGTTTTGGACGCCATCTCCGAGTCAAAATTCAACTCTAAGGCTCCCAAACGCTTCTCTCGGTCGTCAATTTTCTTCTCGCGGTTCTCGAGTTCTCGGAGTCGGGTCTGGAGCGAGTTCCGGGTCGACTCAAAGTGGTCCTCAAGCTCCTTCCACTGCACACCAAAGTGGAGGATGGATGAAGCTTGGGCATGCAAGGCTTCGTAGGCCTGGCCGAGACAGCTCTGCTTCGTCTCAGACATTTTCAAATCCGAGGCTATCTTCTCCATAACCGTACGTACGGACGCCGTGGTGGTGGTGGTGGTGGTGGTGGTAGAAAATGAAGATTGAAAGTTGGAAGAAGACGAGAAAACCCTAGCGCCTAGTCGGAGCTTTCCCTCCTGTGACGATTTCGCTTTCTGAAACCCTAAACCAGAGAGAGTGTATCAGAGAGAGATAACAGAAGAAGAAGAAGAGAGAGCGTTGTGTAGTGAGGGAGAGAGTCGTACAACTTTCACGTTCGCGTATCCTTCTCAAGTCTCTATATAATTTCTCTCTCCCTATGAGGAGGGACCACCCAAGCATGCATGGTACCACGTGTCCAAATCCAGTCCTACCTGTTCTATTTATATGGAACATTATTTTTTTTTTTAAATTCTAAAATAAAAATAAATAAATAAACAAAACAAAACAGAAAACCAATTGCTAAACACGTGAGCGTGTGTTATTAGTTAAAAAACAAATTTAATTATTATCTCAATGGCTTTTATTTTTTTCTTTTAAATTATAAGATGTCGAGGACTTAGGGCCAGTTTGGCATTGCTGTGCTGTGAAAATAATCGCTGTTAGATTTGCTGTGAGAGAAATTAGCTGTGAGGGAAAGCAGTTTGGCGTTTGGTAAACTTTTTGTTAAAAGTGTTGTTGGTATTGATTTCCTCATAATCAGAAAATGATTGTGTCATAATCATTAAACCCAGCGCCTCTTCAAAACTGATTACTGTATAATCAGAAAATGAAAGCACCTCATTAGCTGCTTTCCCTTATAGCTTTCTCTCATAGCAATTTTTAACAATAATTGATTTTCTCACAGTTTACCAAACGGGCTGGACTTCCCAAAATTTTTTAAAAATCACTTATCACCCCAAATAAGCAATGCCAAACGGGCACTTATAATTATGCCTTTCATTGTTTTAACATTTAGTTGGTTTATTATTTATTTATGGTTTTTAAAAGAAAATTAGAAAGTTCACTACCCTATTAATTGCATCCCATGGAATTAGAAATTTCCAGAACTGCAAATCCTTCCCTGCAAGACTTGCCCACTTGCTAACATTTAGTGGGATTAACAACCTCTTAGAATAAAAATAATATTTTCCAAATCTGATTTTATAACAACAAACTCTGCAGCAAAAGAAAGTAGTCCGATGTTTGAAACTTTGGAGAACATAGCATGACAGAAATTACATCACGTGTGAAGAGCTTTAGGTTCGGTATCAAAGCAAATCATGGGAGTGAACCAAATATGCATCATCGGATGCTGTTTATACCAAAATGAACAGCCAATAAGAATAAGACACGCGGACAAAGTCGAGCCTGCTCAAAGTTGCCTTCGGCACCCAGCACCTGGTCAAGCTGCCTTCGGCACCTAGGCTACCGATCCATCCATTAGGGCAATGCCCTCACCAGGGGCACGTGGCACGCTCAGAATCGACGTCCACAGTCCCACATCGAAATTCTACACCAAGTGCATACCTCCCAAGGCCTATAAAGGAGGCCAACTACCCCAAAATAGAGGTGATCAGAACTCATGGCATACTGCCTATTTGATATGTCAGTTAACTTAACTAAATCCGAACTTACTTAAGCATCGGAGAGCCTTCGGCCGGTACCACACTGGTGCCCTAGGCCTTATCGAGCGTTTTTCTCATATTGCAAATCACAATCCCTACCGAGGCCATCAGGATACCGAAGGCCCAAAACCACTAAGTTGCGCCCGAAAAGGACTAAACCATTTTTTAGCATCAACAGATGCTGCCTTAAAATGATCAACATAAACATCTAACCTAGAACAAGAAAAAAACCAAAAAACATTGTATGAAGAGTAAAAGCATGTTTTCAAATGCTCCATCTATGGTGTCAAGGGTCCCAACAATGAAGTCAGTCAAAACAGTTGCTTCTCCAAAATGGCAGTAATGCAACTTACAAAAGCAAGCAGGTCGGCAACCTACCAAAGTTGGGCCACTCATTAACTGACTGGTAAATATACGAGGATGGTAAACCAAGATCCGCAGCACTGCAGACTGGGGGAGCGGCCGCCTTTTGGGGATTACTATGTACACGTGTGGCAGTTCGTACTAGGGTTGATAAGGGCCAAGTGTTGAAGCCATACCAAACTGCTCAGGGTCTCTCATTCTCATGGTGCCCAGAAGGCAAACTTCTATGCTGATAGTCAGGACTGGAAGTTGGTATTCGATGTTCGTTGGAATTTATTTGAATGCTGTTGTTGTTGATGTGGTTGAGCCCCTTTGCGTTTATTCCATTTTGTCTGCTTTTGTTGTTCAAACTTATTCGCCTCTTGTTGTTCAGTCCAGATGGCAATAAATTTACTCTGTTCATGTTGTTCAACTTTGCCGACAAGAGATTTGTTATCCTCTTGTTGCCCAACTTTGCAGGCAAGAGATGTCGCTGAACGTCTTTGATTGTCCTTTATTTTCTCAACCAGATCCTCCTTTATTTTCTCAACCAAAGCTAATTGATGTTCAATCTTCCCAGATGGGTATACAGACTCAAGATTGCAATCTTTGATGCACTGAATCACAGCTCTGAATTCAGCAATTTCATTATCTAAAACCTCAACCTGTAAGCAAAACAACATAGAACGTAAGCTTTTACATTTTTCCTGTATTTAACTATTCAGGAACCAAATATTGGACAGCCAAAGAAGAGCTAAGGTACCTTTTCATCTAGTGATTTCTTTTTCTTGCGAATTCTCTTGTTACAGATCTTTGTATTATCCACAAACTTTTCTAAGAGTAGTACTGGAGGAAAAGTGTCATATAACTTGAATGTGCAAATCAACCTAACAGCCTCAATCAGTTGCCTTCCTTCAATAAGATTCCGAATAAAATGGTCTGCATGTAAAACAAAACTGCAGGATTAACCAATGTAGTCCACGGAAGTTTCAAGGAGAACACAGAATACCAGTGGAGCAAGAACATGAATTCACCAACTTTAGTAATAGGAGAGATAATCATTCACAACAAACTGGATATAAAACGAATCAATAGCTACAAATCTGCATAAATATACTGAGGTTCTGAACCACAGAGTGATAAACAATTCACTTAGAATATATTATAAAACCCAACAAAATCAATCTGTATATAATCCCTTACAGACATAACTTCATTGTACATTTTCCTAATTCCTAATCTCATGACTCATATCATGAATTTTATCTTTGAAATTAAAAATCTTCAAGCCATTTGCTAATATTCGACCCATTAGCAGTCAATACCGACTCAAGATAATTATCACTATAGCACAATGGACACAAGAATGGGATATAGGACACACACAGCTACAAACACCTATAGCTAAAACACTGTAAATAGCAAAATGAAATTAAAGAGCCTATCAAGGAATAAACAAGATTGATGGTAAGCTAAACACAAACAGCACAATGAACATAATATGAAAATTCATATTCAAGAAACTTACTAGGGATCTTATCTGCAAAACTGAGATTCTGACATAATTCTCGAGTCTGTTTATCCTGAGAAATCCTCCCAAGAAGCGATACCATATCATATCTAGTAAAGGTAGAAAACAAACCGTATTTAGCAATAAACTGCAAAAAACCCAAATGTTCCAATGAATTTTGAGTATCAGCTCCCATTTTTGCTTTCCACTGGATTGCTAGCTTTCTTGCATCGTCCATCACATGAGGTCCAACATGCGGTGAGACACAAATTAGCTGCTCCAATAGGTTGATGTAACTCAACATGACAGTTTCTTTAGAACGAACATCCCCATTTCCCCAGTATTGAGCAAAAGAATTTTGCATCACATCCAACACAAATTTTGCTGGGTCCAATGACGTCTGAAGAGCAGCCAAAGTTTCATTTTGTATTAAATGATTCCCTCTCGCAAGCTCATGTACAAACCCCTGCAAATTCCTTGCATCTGTAGTAGCAGTTAGTTGAAGATTCGGAGAAGAAACAGCTACTGCATTTTTGGTCAGGGAAGATTCTGGTTTCTCAGTTTTGACAGGGGAACAAATGATGCTGGCTGTGCCAAAAAAATAAAAAAATTTGCAGTAGACAGGTTAGTGAGTGTAATTCTGAACTTAACATATTAAAACATATTTATAGCATTATGTGCTAATTGTTCTTTGAGTGTTGTGTGGAGTGGGGACGGGGATAGCTATTAGGTTCAAGTCTTTCCAAGCAAAACCCCAAAACGAATAAGAAAAGTCTTGTTTAGAATATATGAGAGCATCAGACGGTATTATGGGCAAGTTGGAAATATAGACTGCCCAAATGGCTAATTTAGAAGTACAAGCAAAATTTTCAATAACAAAAGCTACGATGAAATGGTATCAAGATGTTATAAGACCCAGGGCCGGCCCTGACTTTTGGATGGCCCAGGGCCAAAAATTAAAATGAGGCCCCTTTATGTTTCATCCTCTTGAATATAGTAACTGAGAGTAACAAGTACTCTTCAACACTGCTCTAAAAACAAGAGTAAAGCGCATGTCCAGTGGGAAATTGTAACCAATGCTTCTCAACAATAAGAATTATAATCATTAAAACTTTTTCCCTCTGAACAGAAGCTCCATAAGGCAAGAAATCACGCATTTCAGAACTGTTCTTTGTGACATTTATGGGTCATCATTGTATAGACTTCTATTTGTTGGATTAACAAGAGTAAGAAATATAACAAAGAACCTAATCAACTTGAGCCTGTTGATCGGAAAACAAAATTAAATAGGCAGTACTGTACAAATTATAAACTCAGATCTAAATGTGAAAAAAAGAAGTAAATAATTAAAAAGAACTTACCAGATGCTTTTTCTGTGCTACCAAGGGCCTGGGATAATTCAGTTGCCTGTTCATACTCGGAAATTGTAGCAATAAGACTTTGAAGCTCATTTCCATCATAAGCAGAGGTGATTTCATACGTAGTAACAAGCCTCAAAAAACCCAAAATCTCCAACCAAATCTCTGTTGCCCCCGTCATTTTAGCCTTCCAGTCACCCGCCAACTTAATTGCTTCTTCTCTCACCAGAGGATTAATTTGCGGTGAGATTTTCTTTAAAGCCTCTAACAAAAGAATACAACTTCTCCTAATAACTCTCAAATCAAAATTACACTCCCTGTTGTCTACAGTCGAATTTGAGGGGTAAAACCCTTGCATTGCATCCAAAACCAATTTTGCTGGGTCCAACGAGGCCTCAAGAACAGTTGAGATTTCACTACCCACTAAATCAATTCTCTTCAAATGCTCATTCATGAACTGCTGCAAGCCTCTACCATCCCTATTGATGATGGATTGATTACTTGCAGAAGAAGGAACAAAGGCATGGTTGGAAGGGATATATTCCACTTGCTCAATCTTCACTTGAGAATGAAGGGCATTAGTTTTCTCTTTCTCTTTCAGGTTTCGGGTGTGTTCTTCAGTGGATTTTTTAATCGAATCAAATTCTTTCTGCTTCAAATCAAGCCCTTTGGCCTGGTCTTCAAGTCGCCTTTCTTTCGTTTTCAGGTTTTGGATGTGTGCTTCACTGGATTTTCTGATCGAATCAAATTCTTTCTGCTTCAATTCAACCTCTTTGGCCTGGTCTTCAAGTTGCCTCTCTTTCGCTTTCAGGTTTCGGGTGTGTTCTTCAGTGGATTTTTTAATCGAATCAAGTTCTTTCTGCTTCAATTCAAGCCCTTTGGCCTGGTCTTCAAGTCGCCTTTCTTTCGATTTCAGGTTTTGGATGAGTTCTTCACTGGATTTTATGACCGAATCAAATTCTTTCTGCTTCAATTCAAGCCCTTTGGCCTGGTCTTCAAGTTGCCTTTCTTTCGATTTCAGGTTTTGGATGAGTTCTTCACTGGATTTTCTGATCGAATCAAATTCTTTCTGGTTCAATTCAAGCTCTTTGGCCTGGTCTTCAAGTTGCCTCTCTTTCGCTTTCAGCTTTCGGGTGTGTTCTTCAGTGGATTTTTTAATCGAATCAAATTCTTTCTGCTTCAATTCAAGCCCTTTGGCCTGGTCTTCAAGTCGCCTTTCTTTCGATTTCAGGTTTTGGATGAGTGCTTCACTGGATTTTCTGATCGAATCAAATTCTTTCTGCTTCAATTCAACCTCTTTGGCCTGGTCTTCAAGTTGGCTCTGTTTTGATTTCAGGTTTTGGGTGTGTTCTTCAATTGATTTTTTTATCGAATCAACTTCTTTCTGCCTCAATGCAAGCTCTTTGTCCCGGTCTCCAAGTTGACTCTCTTTCATTTGTAGTCCCTTAGACATTTTATCCAAATGCTTCTCGCCATCTCTGATCGATTTTTGGAGTTCATCCAAATTCTTTTCTTTCAACTTAACCTCATTGAGGCGTTCACTTACCCTCTTGTCCATGAATTCAAGTTCCCTCGCTTTGAAATCAAGTTTACAAGACCACTCCTCCATTGAATTCTTAAGCAAACCAAAATCTCTCTCTTTCAAATCTATTTCCCTAATTTTTTTCTCTCTCGATTCGAGTGTATTTGAGCACTCTACTAACCATTTTTGAATCAACTTAAGTTTCTCCTCTTTCAAACTCAACTCCTTGTCGCATTCCTCAATCGATCCTTTCGTTGCTTGAATTAGCTCTTCTTTCAAATCAAACTCTTTCTTGTGCTTCTCAATCGACCCAAGAATCTCATTCAATTGCCTCTTCTTCAACTCTATGTCCTCAACGTACTTGTTCAACGCTTCTTGAAACCGTTTCACTTCCTCCTCCTTAGACTCGGCCAATTTCGACTTCTCTTCCACAATTTTCGCAACCCAATTCAATTTTTTCGTCCTCTCTTTAAGACGCTGATCAATCGAATCAAAATATGTCTCCTTCTCTAAAACAAACTTCTCAACTGCCATCAACCGCTTCTCCTGAACAATGACCTCATCGCTGTGTTCCTGAATCAATGACCAAAGTGAATGCAAGTGGTTCTTACAGTCAATTACCTCTTTCAATTTCTGATCGAGCAATCTATCAAGGCCGCGCAACTCAATGGCTTTGGCTTCCATATCCGAGCGAAATTTCCACTCTTTTTCTTCCAACTTGGTCTCCCGGACTCCGATATCCTCTTCGCGGGCCTCGAGTTCTCGGAACCGGGCCTCTAGGGTGTCCCGAGTCGACTCAAAGTGGTCCTCGAGGTCCTTCCACTGCACAGTAAAAATGATGAACGAATTAGCTTGCGCATGTATGATATCGTACGCCTTGGCCAGGCTCCTCTGCTTAGAGTCGGACTCTCTCAAATCCGACTCTATCTTCTCCATTGTCTCAAACGTGGTGGAGATTCTGGAGACTGGAAGTGAAGAAAACAAGAAAAAACGCAGCGACGAAACGTCTGGTTGAAACCCTAGAAAGAAACAGTGGAGGAGAAGAAAGAAGAGAGTGTAGTTTGTATGCGGTTGCTTCTCTGGATTTTAAAGCGAACGCAAAGAAACCTGCTGCTGTAACCAAAACAAAAACAAAGAGGAGAGTGGAGGGCGGTGGGTGTAGGCGGGACCACGCAAAGCATGCAACTTGGGGCACGTGTGGAAATCTTTCCACCCTGGCCATCGGTCTGTTCCTAATTAACTTTCATTTTTTAATAAGAGTGTGCATTGTTTATGTCTTTTGCAGGCGACAATTAGAGTGCGCCACTAATGGTTGAGGGATAGTGTTGTTGATTAAAAAATATATATCATTAGTGTTGTAAATGAGTGGGTGTGGATGGCCCACATGTTAGAAATGAAAGCCAATTAGTTGGGAGCAAGGTTTAAAATATTGATGGTATTTGAAATATCGGTAGTTTAACAAAACAGAAATTTCGATAGAAATATCGGGATATTATCGATATTGATAAAAATTGAATAAAAACCACATAAATTGTAAGAAAAACTTGAAAATTTTTATTAAAACTTTGGAGGATGTTTATTTAGTCAATTATTTATTAGTTTATAATAAAAAAATAGAAGGAAATGCATTGTATGATGGGTTTAATTGATTTAAGTTGATTATATAGCGAGCTTACAAACACTGGCAGTTTAATTAATGAAAGAATATTAAACATACCATAATCATTTATATATAATGATTTACTATATTTTATACTTTATACATTGCATGGTAAGATACATGAGTGACTTAGTACCACATAGAGTTCTTCTTTGCTTATTATCACAAAAACATAAGCAACATGGTGGTTAAGGCGTTGGAGGAGTGAAATGGTAAGGGTTCGAATCCCATTTGTGTGTGTGCTTTGTTTTTTTTTTTTTTTTTTCATTATAGAGAAATTTTGACAAAATATTGTTGAAGTATGAGTGAAATTATCGACATCGATATTTTCCGATATTATCGATATTTATATGATATCCGTGACTCGAAAAAATGATAATATCCTCGATATTTCGTCAATATTATCGATATTTCGTCAATATTATCGATATTTTATACTATTGTTGGGAGTGGATTTTATTATATCTATCTCTTTGTAGAGATAGACTATACGGTCTGTGTGTGTTTGGAAATTGAGAGAGAGAGAGAGAGAGAGAGAGAGAGAGATGACGACAATATATTTTGTTTTTGTTTTTTTTGTATTTAAATTGGTCACTGATGTTAGCACGATATAAGCAAATCCAGGCAGCATCTTTGGCATGTTACCATAGGTAGAAGTGCTCTAAGAGCAATCCCAATCATAGTTCCTAAATGGGGCTCTAAAAATAGTGAATAGAAACTTATTTAGAGCTCCAGTGGAATATTCTAGACTCCAACCCTCCGTTTGGATGAAGGAATTGAAAATGATATAGAATTCTAAAATGACGGAATTTAGATTTTAAGGATTTCAATTTTGGCAATTAAAAATTTCAGTGTTTAGATTTATGTATGTCAAATTTTGTAAATGACACTATGAAAATTGTGAAATGACGCCTATTTGGTGGAAATTAAACTCGGGAATTTGATGACCCAATTTTCATGATTTTTTTTGCACGTCATTTAATAAATTCCGTGCTTAAGTTGCCAAACAACGGAATTGTGAATTTATCCTCTTAAATTCCCGACTTTTAACTAAATTCGGAGTTATTTTCCCTCATCCAAACATAGGGAAGGTATCTTTCCCACAATGGGGACTCTAAACCAAAGGCTCTAAAGGTATTTATTTTTTATTGCATATATTGTAGGCTTATTTATTACAGTGCCTTATGAAATTATGGTCCAAACAACCACCTATGATGATTTTGCTTTCTGAAACCCTAAACCAGAGAGTGTATCATAGAGAGAGAGAGAGAGAGAGCGTTGTGTTGTGAGGGAGAGAGTCGCACAACTTTCACGTTCACGTATCCTGATCGGTGCAATAATTACATATCATTTTGTACCATTCTAACTTATGATTTGGTTATGTTTTTGAGTTAAACTTGTGCTTTTAATAAGTTTTGTGTTTGTTTCAGTGTAATAAGCTTGAGACTCATTTATTGCATTTTGGAGACAAGTTAGCTCGAAATGGTGTCTGCATATCAGTCAACTTCACGTATTAGACTGTACTTACTCAAGAAGAACCAGATAATGAGCCATATATCATTGGAAAGATACGGAAGTCTAGTTTCTTTAGAATTTTACGGTTCATGATTCCGAGTCTCCTAGAGGAAGTTATATATGTTTTGGCAGCTTAAGGTCAAATTCGGCAGCATCTGCGTTACTGTGCCAAAAATCACATTTGAAGGGCTTTCCGATTTTTTCTTGAGCTGGGCTGCATATGCTTGGAAAGATAAGACAAATAGCTTCAAGATACATATTTTTCCAGATTTTTCAGAATGGAGCCACAAGCTGACTGCAATGCATTGTCATGCATGACATATGCATGATGAAGTGTTGTTGATTGTGGGAAAGTTTGGTGAAGCATATTCAATATCTATATTTGAGTGAAATTTTGCAGCAGCCAAATGAATTAAAAGAAGATGAAGTGAGAGCTGCAACACTAAGCCTACAGACAAGAGGAATTGTTTTCAAATGCAATAGTGTGTTAGGTGAATTAAGTGTTGTAAGTTGGTGAAGTGAGTGTGGTTAGTTAACTCTATTGTATAATTCAGATTTTCACTTCCCCTAGGCCTATAAATAGGGAAGTTCTCTAAGCTTGTAAACACACCCCAATGGAGGGAGCTCTCAAACACTTCTCTAGAGCTCCCTTCCCTTCTCTCCCTCAAATTCTCTTAGTTTTCCTTTCTAGTTCTCAAGTGTTGTACCAAATCTCCCAAACACATTTCCCTTCTCTTCCAAAAGTCTCCATGTCTCAAACATTTCACAAACACCTTTCTCTCCCTTTCCTAAGTTTCTCAAACACATGTTCTTCCAAATTCCCCATGTTCTCAAACACGTTTCCTTTCTCTTCTCTAAACTTCCCAAACACTTCTTCATTCTCTTTCAAATTCTCCATGTTCTCAAACACATCTCTCTTCTCTTCCAAAATCCTCAAAGCTCTCAAACACATGTTCTTCCAAAATTCTCTAAAGTTCTCAAACACTTTCTTCTCCCTCCTCCAAGTTCTCAAACACCTTCCTTTCTTCCTCAAATTCTCCTAGTTTCTTTAATGTTCTCTTAGTTGTAATTTATTTTTCTTTGTAATGTAAATTCTTTTCTTAAGTATTCAAGTTTGATTAGTTTCCAAGTTTCAATTATGGTTCTTGTTCTTATTCATTTTGCTTATAAGTTAATATGCTAGTTTGAATGATTGATCACCATTAAGGCTTGCATGTTAGCTATCTTGGTTTGAATTAAGAGTAGACACAATGCTTTAATTCGAATTGAACTATGAATAGGAAGAGTGTGTATGAATTCGACAATCTGGATTAGATACATACTTGGTTGTTTAAAACATTCTTCTATGCTTAATGGATTCCTAATGCTTAGGTTAGACAACAAATTAATCAAATTAGGAATACAAGGTTAGGACCAAACACCATGGCTTAATCATACTTTAGCTAGAATCAATCCATTAAACTAAATTGAACTTGGGAACTTATCTGCTTGAGTTAGTTATTTTCTTTCTTACTTGTTTTATGTTCTTTTGTTTTCATTTATGTTTTGTGTAGGAAAACTGAATTGGATCATTCAATCACCAATCCCTGTGGAATCGACCTCGCACTTACATATGTTCTACTACCAAACGGCTCGTGCACTTGCGAGTATCACAAGTTGAGGATGCAGCTGAATCCATTTTGGTGCAGCTGAAATTTACGCAACATATCCTCCTCAAGTCTCTATAATTTCTATCTCCCTAAAAGGAGGGACCACCCAAGCATGCAAGGTATCACGTGTCCAAATCCATAATTGGATTATGAGGAATTGAATTGAGGAGGAGTTGGATTGATGAGAATTAGATTTCAGATTCATGTTGAAGTTGTTTACTAAACCATATGGATTGGGGGAGTTAGATTCCAAATTCCTATTAAAGTTGTTTACTAAACCATATGGCATTGGGGTAGGAGTGATACTAATTACTAAAATGTCTTCGTTATTGGGTTAAAGTATATGGCAAATTTGAAAATTTGAAAATTGTGTGAGGATATAATAGGTAAAAAAGATGAATTCCTAATAGGTTAGTTCTCCTGGAATTAGAATACCACCTCCTACCCAAGAATTGAATTCCTTCAAAATCAGGAATTCAATTCCTAATTTTGTGTGGATCAAAGCAATAAGCCATCGCTTTCATATAAAAAAAAACCCTAGCCGCACTCTAGCCCCTTTTCTCCTTGCCGACAACCAACCATAAGGAAGCTAAGGGGGGAGGTGGCCACTACCCTTCCTCCCCTCTGCTCATGTTCCCCTTCCTCTCCTCATCTCCCTGTCTTTTTCTCCCATATTTTCCCTTCCTCTTATCCCCTCTTCTCCTCCCCTTCCCCTCCCTAGATAATCTAGATATGTTTGTTTGTTTGTTTGTTTTGTTTGATTATTTTTGCAGTGTTCTAGGTGTCTGGTGTTGTCTTTGTCTCGACGACAGCGACAGTAGTGACACTGAATTGTGTCTCTCCTTGGGAGACTCATGATACCTGGTGGCTGATGTTTTGTCTCTGTTTCAATGGCGGGGGCAACAACAATGCTGGTGGTAGTTGTTGGGATGTGGTGCTCTTCTCTACTCTGTGCCGATAAGAGAACTATGTTTGGTCATATGAGGTTTTCTTTGTCCGATTCTGAGTTGAAATGGAGTGTTTCTCAGGGGTCCTTTTACTGTTGTTTATATGTTCCTCACACATGTTCTCTCCTGGTTTCTGCTATGATATGCCTTGCAGTTTGTGTGGGTGTCAAAGGACTATGATTTTGCTCATATAAAGCTTCTTTTGACAGTTGGGATGTTTTACGGTCCTCTCATATGGGTCTATTGTGTTGGTCTATAGTTGCGGTTCTTATCGAAGGTCTATGTGTTAGTTTCATTTTTTATTTGTTCTTTTATTACAATGGTCTAAAGTGACATGAATCAGACTC